CCCCTCTCACCTGACCAAGTATATGCCTTGAGATCCATCCACAGACGTGCCACCAAGGTCTTCTTTGCTTGCACAAAGAAATTCTGGGATACCATCAAGATTCTTGGTGGGAAGTCTATAACTGATCGGCCCTCTCGTTTCATCAACTACTTCGATCATAGATCTTCTAATGGCAAATGGGTCCTCGGCTTCCTACATCAACAGTGATAATGCAGATTTCTTTCTGTCCCTCAGCCAAGATGATGTAGTTGGCATTATAATAGATGACCTGTCAGCTATCCACCAGCCACCCAAAAAAGCTATCCAAGATCTCTGTGTTCCCCCCCCCCTGCCCCCACAGTGATAAAGAGGTGGAGTCTGGATAACTATTCTATGCCTGGCTTTCCTTCCTTCACCCTCTATCAGTTTATGGATTATAGTATGGTTCTTGGGAAGACAGGAGGCAGAATCCATTTTGCTGGGGAACACACCACCACACTGCCCGGTTGGCTGGGCTCACCACAGTGTCGGGGCTGAGGGCTGCAAGGGAGACTCAGACACCTTGCAGTGAAGAAGTCTCAGCCAGGAATCAAGCCAGGTCACAAAGATGAGCTTTAAAGGGGGACTCTGCAAAAGCAGGAAAGTCAGCTAAATTTAACTCTACACAGAAGAGTTTCAGCCTGGGACAACATCATCTTTAAATTACAGCAATCGTAATGTGTTTAATGGAAATTATACAGTAGAAAGCACTGTTCAAACCAACATACTGTCCTTTTCAGCCATGCCTGTTTGTCTTCCAGGCCTGATGAGATTAAGAAACAAAGAAGAACTCCAGTGGATGCAAACAAACTTTAACCTAGTTCAACATCCTCGTTCAACAGTGACCAGCCAGATGCTTGCACAAAGCCTGAAACAGTTCGTGCTTGTTTGTGTCCAGCATCACATATTCTGGAGTAAACTGCTTCTGTATCTGAAGGCTCCATTTTGCTATCATGGCTAAATACCTATTCCTGGCCTATGAATGACTGTTCCTAAGCCAACTAAGGTAGGAAATTCTGGGCCCTTTGGCAAGATGCCATTGCTGCATGAGCTTAACCTTATCCTTACCTCCAGGAAGCAGCATTGGCAGCCCTTTTCCAACAACCATACTTTAAAAATGACAAACAGGAGTATTGCCAAAAGGTCAACCCTCAGCAGACAAAAAGCCTCGGGAATGAAAGCGTGTTGTGATACAGAATGCACCTCATGTCGTTTGATAACATTTTTGATTTGGATTGCGTTTTTTCATGCGTGAGAGATTGTGTTCTTATGTGTAGCTTTTACCCTGGAATTGGCATATAAATGAGTAAGGGAGCATATTTATACGTGTTTAGACAGAAAACTAACTGGTTAGCCATGTGTGAATGGAATGGAGCATTGGTGTGACACAACTGCCTCTTACGTTCTTGCACAGTGAACCCCCACAAAACAAAGCTATTTAAACTCCAACCTATTACGACTACCTTTGCCATTGCTCTTTTTCACCCGAAGAAACCCAGGCTGTAAATACCAGGACTGTGCCCGAAGGTCCTTACGATCTAAATTTTCGCAGCAGGAGAAAGCGAAAAGGGGAGGCGAGAAGCGAGGAATGTGAGCAAAGGCAGCTACACCTACGTGGGCTTCTTTTAGCTGGAGAGGAGAACCAAAGGGTTACTCGGTGCAACTGTCTTGAACCTTTCGTACTGGCGAGGATGAGATTCGGGTGCGATTTCTGTAGCACCCGACTTGCCAGCAGGAGCGCTTGCTCGCTGTACTTTTTAAATTAACCTCAGAAAATCCTTTAAGGAGGAAAAGATGGAATAGCCCGATAAAGCTTAGAGCCCTCGGTCTGGAAACCCTACAGAACACAAAGAATTGGGGATTTTATATTATTTTTGGGTAATAAAAATAGAGGGGAATGTTTCTGTTGACTTCCAACAGAAAATCAGAAAAACAAATGGTCGACCCTGAATAGCACCAAATTATGCAGGCGCTCGCACGTGTTGATTTCTTACTTCAGATTTTAAAACATTTTTCCTTGGCTGAAATGCAGCCTTAGAACGTAGATTTTCTCAGAGAAAGAGCAATGTCCTTCATATGCATAGTTTACAAAAGAAGTTGTTTTTAAATTTGGGGACACGTCCTTCCAAAAGGTATTCCCTGACCGGGAATCGAACCCGGGCCGCGGCGGTGAGAGCGCCGAATCCTAACCACTAGACCACCAGGGAAGCTGTAAAGCATGCTCGTTCCTTTGGTCTTTGTATTAGGGATCCTCGTTTTCTTCCATAATTTGTTATTGGGAGTAAGGACTGTCAAATCGTCAAGAGATAAAAAGTCCCGTAAATCTGAATAAAGCTGTGGGGGGAGGGGTCCCTATCTAACATGTGTCACCCTTTAGTTAAACACCGCTTTTCAGGCGAGATCAAGCTCTGCAAAAGTGTTGAGACTTGCCAAGCTCATTCTCAGAGTCGAAAGTTTCCTTCAGCTCGTTCTCCAAATTAAAAATACAAGGAGGATTTTTTTTTAATTATGTAAGGACCTTGTAGGTGATATAACAGAAATCGCAAAGAAACCAGGAGCATAAAAACATAAAAACCATCTCCTAGCACTGCAATGCAATCTATAGATATCCTGAGAAGTAACGGTATTGAATTCAATGAAACTTTCAGGTGACAAATACAGAATTGCATTCTTTACATTATTTTTGATGGAACATTATTTTTGCGGGTTTTAACATGCCAACAATGGAGATACGTGTGCAAAAAGGGAAGATTGATTTTTCTGCCTCAGAGCATCATGTGCACCAGCCATTAACTGAAGGTGGCCAACTTTATTCGTCAAAAAATGAGAAGCTCTTTTAAAAAATGAATCAAGAAAAACAAATTATGCACTAATAGACAGCAGAGGCTGCCTCACAAGCCACGTGTGGGGGAAAGACATACCATATCTTATCATTTCATATATTTTAGTTTTTCTAACCCATCCACCACTGATGTCTCAGTACAGCTTACAACAGAAGAACAAATAAAACAAAAAAATTAAAACAAAGTACAGCACTTGTATATGAGAGATCCATGCATTTGTTGTTGTTGTTGTAAGATTTCTAACCCGCCCTATTAGCCACATGACTCCCTGGCAGGTTACAACAATAAAATGGGTTAGGCAGAATCAGTGCACCCAAATCTTTGCTTTTCCAAGGACTTGAAGACAAGATCCTAGGCAACTTCAAGTTGGCGGGAAAGGAAAAATGCCTCAAGTTCCAGCATGCCCTGGTCAGCTGGCTGGGGTGTGATGGGAGCGATAAATCCTTTATCTTGTCTAAACATACATAGTGCATACTTTGAGTGGGAAACCATGTTTACATTTAATCTTATTTATTTTTTAATTTTTTTACTTGGGTCTAAGAATGCACAATGCATATCTCTTTCTTTCCTTGATACCCAAGGTGCACTAGCCTAATAGGGTCACAGACACGGAGGCGGAGCAGCATTACCCAAAACAATGAGCAAACTATGGTGAGGCAGCCTCAGATTGATGGTTTGTGCAATAAAAGCATCTTTAGCCAGTCCGACAACCGTGTCCAGCAGGAACTCTTCCGCTATGACCAGGCGCTGCAGGGCGCTGACCTAGAACGTAGCGTGTTAGATAGGTCATCCCCCTTCCACTGGATTCAGGCAGCTTTCTCCAAACTGAAGCCCTCCAGAAGTATTGAACTTTAGCATCCACCACCTGCACCCAAGATGGGACACACTTGGGTGTGGATGTTAGGTTTGATGCATCAAGTGGGAGACAGGAAAGGAAACTGTTTCTCAGCAATGAAGAAGTGGAGTTGGATTTGGGGGAAAATGTCATTGGTTAATATTAAATGACTTCAAAGAAAATGCTTACAAGATTCAACAGAACTGGAATCTTACCAATGGTATAAAGACAAATCTGGTAATGTGCTACTTTGAACACAAATTTTAACAAAACTTCTGGACTAGTCTAACTTTCTAGGACACAGTTACTGGTTTAGGCTAAAATCCCATATAAACTTACCTGATTGTAAGCTACATTTAACTCTGATTTATGTTTGGAAAGATGTGCATAGTATGGTTCTGAACAGAGAAAAATCCAGGATACCTATTACCAGAGAACCATAAAGAATTTTTATCCTATTTAAAAGATACGTCCTTCCATTGACTTAGAACTGGCACTTAACCTTTTGATAGTGGTTTGTTTTGCTTTTGTTTTTGCTTTATTCACACTCTGATATTCAACGGTATGGAATATAGCTACAGTGTCACAACTGATCACTCGGAACAATTCATTATTCAACTTGCCATTTCTTGTTTTCATTTCTGTAAATTAAAATGGTTTTATATTATGGATTTGTAATTCCCATATGAATTCATTACTTCATGCATCTCCCCACAAATTTTTAGTCCTGTATTGTATTTCTGTGATTCTGCATTATAGACACACACGCATACGCAACCATACACACTTCAATTCTCTCATGCCTATTTAATATTAATTATACCATGGATGTTTTTGTTACTCAACATTTTACAAATACTAAGATTTGTAACTTTCCAGCCCCCAACCACAATTCCACAGCAAAGCCACAGGAAACTTGAGTAAAGCTGCTAAAATCCTGATTTATTGGAAGATGTGAATAAAGCTGCTAAAATCCTGTTTTACTGGAAGAATATAGAGTTTTTTCCTTTGGGAAGCCACCTCACAATACTCATGCCTTTATTCTCATCAGTCAGCTGCTGCTGGTTTGTATTTCCACTATCGAATTCCCTTCCACTGCCAGATAGTATCCCACACAAAAAGGGACCAGACGTGTGCTCTCTCATTGAAGATGGTTAGAGATGAATGTGGCTAATTACAGGATCTTGTGAACTTACTAAGGCAGCAAAATATTTTAAACTCTCTGATTATTATTAGGATCTTTCTCCGGGCAACACTTGGTCCTCTCCCTTCTTGCCCCTGCTGGAGGAGGGAGGGATGCTTTCCTACGCACACTCGCTGCTGATGGGCTCGGCCGCCGTGTGCTTGGCCAGCTCCTTCTCCATGGCCCCCTTCAGGGCGTTCTGCACATCGGTGCAGCTGATGGGGGGCGACTCCTCCTTCTGGCTCAAGGCCTCCACCTCAGTGGCCACCTGCTGGTACAGGTCCGTCAACAAGCTCTTCACCAGGCCCCTGGCCTTGGCCTCCATGCGCACCTTGGGCATCTGCCGCAGGATCTTGGAGGCAAAGAGCCGCGGGGAGCAGATCTTCCTCTCCTGCTTGCTGCGCGCTGCCTTTTTGGCAGCTCTCCGCTTCACCTGACGCTTATTAGGACGAGACTGGTGCTTCTTCTGCTTCCGAGGCTGCAGCTTCTTCTGCTTCCGTCTGATCTGTTGATGCTTCGTCTGGATCTTCCTCCTCTTCACATCCCTGCTCTTCTTTCTGCCTTGCCCTTTGGCAGCCATGGTCCTTTTCTCCTCAAGCCCCTGCCTCAAATGTCGCCAGACTTTGCTCTGGCACTACCACTTATAGACAACGGCACTTATAGACAACCTATATGGCTCACGCTGATTGGGTAGTTCTGCCTTCACTGTAGCCAAGGAACCATTGTTATGCTGACTGTGACTATGACCTGTAAGCTAGTTGGATGCACTTGTCAATCAAATACAGATACTTTTATGTTCCATAAACTCTGTGGCCCTAAGGCCCGGCTGGCACGTTCATTGCCATAATTTCCATACCAAAGTGTTGGCTATGGGCTGGTATTGAAATGAAACAAACGAAACAGAATGAATAACAATATGTAAAGCAGGTTTTGATGCCAAGAATTGTACCCATTTGTCCTGCAATTCAGACCAGGTTGGAGTATGCTTCGTTTTACTCATGGTAAACTCTTACTGCCTCCTAGTTTCCATGAAGAGGAAGCTGGAAATAACCTTGTTTTGCCAAGGACAAAAGGTTCTTTTTAGATCTAGAAGCAATGTGCACACAGGTGGATTAAAGTCTAAAGATTTTATTCTAAAACAGGCACTACAGTGTAAATAGATATAACAACATGAAAAAGGAAATACAATACCAAATAAGCTGGCTTCCCTCTATCAGCCATCGGGAGACCCCCTCCCCCCCCCACAAGAAAAAGCCCCTAATCCTTGGCCAGGATGTGTCACCTTCCTTGCTTGGCTAGATCTCACACTGGAACTCACTCAGGCCGGGGTCACCAGGCTGCTCTCTCTACCCTAAATCTAAGAGTCAAAACAGTTAACTAGCCACATCTGCTGTTCCCGGCTCTCTGTTTCTTTTCTGCATTCCAATGCTGTACCATCCTAATTAGCAAGCAGCTTCCCTTGCATGCCAGAGGGCCTCAACTGAGTCTCCACAGGTGAGGCAGGAATAGAAGGGCAGTTGTGTTACACCACCTGTCTCCTCGGTATACAATAGTCTTCTGGAAATTTTCCTCTACAAACCTGAGAGTGGACAGTCACTGTTAGCGTGTCCCCGGGTTTCTGCCAGGCAGGGAACACAAGCTGTAGCTTCCTTTTGCCCCTTAAGCCTGACTCATGGGTGCATCGTCAGCTGAACTCCAGTGTTGCCCGACTGAGGGATAATTCACATCAACATAATAATTTTATAATTCAGAGTGGGAGAACAAGCAGTAACCAAAAGAAGGCAGGGATGAGAGTTCTAAATGATCCTATTTTGGACTGACTTAGATATGATCAGCTGTAACTTGCTATTCCCTAGCAATCTTCCAAGTTCCAAGAGAGACAATTGAATAATTATGGGGTGAGGAATTTGTGGCTCTTAAGATGCTTTGGCTAACCACTTATCTCATCCTTAGCTAGCCCAGCCAATGGCGAGGGCTGAGGGGGTTGTAAGCCAGAATATATTAAGGGTCACATGGTCCCCCCACGTCAGAGAAGTACGCATTGGCAGCTTTGCCTCGCCTCTCAGTAAGTAGCTAGCAAAGCTGTGTGATGTCATCCTCACAGAAGTTAGGAGATTTCCCCTCCTGCCATCACTAGTCAGATATTGTACAGATAAGAATACTTCTTCACGCAGTGTGTTGTTAAACTGCAGAATTCACTTCCACAAGCTGTAGGGAAGGCCACCAATTCGGGCAGCTTTAAAAGGCAATCAGATAAATTCCTGGAAGATGAACTATCAATGGCTACTAGTCATGATGGGCCTGTACTGGGAGGAGGAGGCTATTGTGTGTGTGCCGCGTGTGGGATCCTATGGTCACTTGCTTGGCTACTCTGTGCTGGAGTACGCAAAGCCCTGGTCTGATCCATCACAGCTGTTCTTACGTTCGTAACATTTTTCTGAAGAGGCTATTTACTTCTAATGCCCCAGGTTATTTATATATAACATTTAGGGCACAATTCTGTACTCAGTTAGAAGCAAGCACCATTGAATCAAGTAAGGTTTGTCTCTGAGTATATAGTTAAAGGATTGCACTGGTAATATTATTACCAGTGAGTAAATGTTGTAAGCACAAATGGATTTATTCTAAGTAGACCTGTAGAGGATTGCATTTTTAGTGATTCTGGCCACTTCAAATATCCAAGATGATGCGACCCTCTAAAATACAACACTGACAGGAGGAAAGAAAATAAAAACAAATAACTTCAAAAGCCATCGTAGTAAATGATCTAAATAACATTAAGCACCAACTATTTTAAAGCTTCAGAGGACATAAAAGTCTTTAAATGGCATCCAGACCAGGGAAGTGATATCTCTCTGGAAACCCTCCTGTTCCCACCCCAAGCACTTCCACAGAACTTGCTTTACCGATGATATCCAGGGAAGACACTGCTTTCATTTGAAGAAGCAGAAGATGTAGAAGGAAAAGAGAGTTATGCAAAATATGCTGGTTCCAGACTGTGTCGCTGAGGACTGGAGAACATGTGGCCCTCCAAATGTTAGACTCCAGTTCCCATCAGGCCAAGCTAGGAGGGTGATGGGAGTTCATCAACACCTGGAGGAACACAGCTTTCTGGTTTAACTATTTCTAGATTGTAGCAGCCTATTGACTCTGTTCTGAACTTTAGTGTGTACTGTTTTCTATCACGTAATGGTCACATGAGTTGCATTTTACTGAGGTGCCATGGGCTTCTTTCAGAACCATTCCATGCATGTTTACTCAGAACTAAGCCCACTTCATGTTCACCACACCTTGCTCCCTGATAAGCATGTCTGGGACTGCAGAATCCACTGCGTTTGTTGTTGTTGTTAGTTGCGAAGTGTCCGACCCATCGCGACCTCATGGACAACACTCCTCCAGGCATTCCTGTCCTCCACCGTCCCCCGGAGTCCATTGCTTCAGTGACTCCATCCAGCCACCTCATCCTCTGTCGCCCCCTTCTCCTTTTGCCTTCAATTGTTCCCAGCATCAGGCTCTTCTCCAGGGAGTCCTTCCTTCTCATTAGGTGGCCAAAGTACTTGAGTTTCATCTTCAGGATCTCCACTGCGTTTACATTTTATGAACTCTGCAGCTCCAAGACAGCTGTTGAAAAGTGTCTCTCACAGCCCGCCTGCCCCTGCAACCTTTTGTGGAATAAAATGTCAAGAAGGCCAGATGTGCAAGACACAGATGCTGAGTGTAGCTTAACAGCCAATTGGGGCAGAAGAGTACGACGACTGCCTGGCAACACTTTCCACTGGCATGCAGTGTTCAGAGGCTGTAGTATGAATTAAGGAGCCCAAGAATCGGGCAATACCCGACTGATATGCATACAGCTCCACAGTGGAGTGGCCAGCTTTTAAATCTGACTGGGCTTATAAAACTAGCTCAAGGAAATTATTTTGAAGGCTGGAACTGGGAGCAAGTCCCTTTGTTAAGCACTCTGCCCAACTGATAACATTAGCTTTGAAGGGATACATACAAGTTGCTTCTTACACTGCAATCCTGAAACAAACCCCAATGAATTCAATGGGATTCATTCCCAGGGGAACACCCACAGACCTGCAGCCTTAGTTGAACTGATGTTTCCCAAGCCAAGCCAGACCTTTTCCCCAAAAGGGGGTCCTGCATTTTTTCTGCCGCAGTAATTAGCACAAAATGGAAATAACCTGCCACCACCAAGAGTCCATGTGGTGTTTAGAGTGCTGGACCGGGGATCTGAAAGATTCAGGTTCTGGTCCCCACTCAGCCATGAAGCTCACTGAGTAACTTTGGACCAGTCACTCACTCTCAGCCTAGCCTCACAGGGTGGTTGTTGTGAGAATAAAATGGAACTATGTAAGCCACCTCAGTTTCCCCTCAAGAGAAAAAAAAAGTGGGACATAAATCCAATATTATAATACCATTGCAAGAGCTAACTGCGGCACAAGTGTGGGATGAATTTAGACTTTAGAATTCAATGTTAATTTGGCAATGGGGGGGGGCATTTCAGTTTCCCATGTTAGATTCTGTTAAGTTTTCTGCTTTTGTTATTTGTCACAAGGTTTGAGGATGGAGAGACTGTATATCCAAAGCCTACACTGGTCCTTAAGCATGGCTAGAACATCAGTGATACAGTCACCTTACAGAATCTGCAGAGAACTTGGTTCTTGGATGGTATAGAAATCAATTAACTACATCTAAGCATGCCTGGGTCTGTGCAGCGGCTGGCATGGAGCCTGCCTGGAAAGCCACAGAGATACTCTCCCTCGCGGGAGAAAGCCAAGGAGACAGGAAAGCAGGAGTACATCAACTCTCACGTGCTCTGCTCAGAACTGCCTTTGTTCTGAGTACTGTTGAGGCACAACAGCATGGGCTGCAACCATCTTATTTATTTATTTATTTATTAAAACATTTTTATGCCGCCCCATTCACCGAAGCCTCGGGGTGGCTTACAACAATAAATTAAATAATCATAATCATAAATTAAAAATATAAACATTAGAATAAAATATAAACATACAATATCTTAGAGGGTGTCCAGCTGGAGAATGCTTAGTGCTCCCCATCAAAGGGCTTCGAGCATCTCTCCTAATCTTTCCCCTTTCCTGTTTTTTCCTGTGATAAGAAAATGGGCTGAGGATGCATTCCGAAAACAAGAGCAAGCCACAAATGTAAGATGATGTCACTGGGAGATACACACCCCCAATAAAATTCAGTGAAAGAAGCAAGGCGACTGCATAATAAAAGCCTCACCTGGAAGCTCCTTTAGTTATATTTAGAGAACCCAGTGCAAACAATGGGATCTAACTCACTGACTTCAGTCCCACTGATTTCACTGGGTCTGCCCCAACTATGACTAAGTCTGGATCCAATTCTGGATATACTTGATAGGGCTTTATAAGCATCCACTTCTGTTAGCGTTCTCTCCCCCGTCGAGTGTGCGCCTATTAATCCACAGGGAATAAGAAACCACTTGCCCAGTGCCCACTTTCCTTTACCTGTTTTCCCAATACCTTTTTCTATGAAAAAAGGAGGTTCCCCCTAAACTTCTTTCATAGCAACTCCAAATTTTGGCATGACTGAAAAGGAAATCACAACAAAGGTAAAGAACCTGGTAAAACCCCATTTTATTATAATCCGAAGAATTAGATGTTTCTCTCCCAAAGATTTTTCAAGACATGAGGATTCTGCTGCAGCTCAGGTCCCTTCTTGGCTCATTAAGGATGGAAATTGTTGGTCTCTGTGCTGAGGAGTCATTGTTCCCTTGAAAGTGAAGTGTTTCTCAGCATCTTTAGGGTAAAACAGGACTTTTCATCAGGTGGAAGCTTATTTTTGTTGGTGGTGGTGGTGTTCCTTTGAAGGCTGGCTTCTCCTCCTCCTCCCTTCTCTTCCATAGATCTGACTTGCACCAGCCAAAGGGAGACTGGAAGGAGCATGGTTTTAGTGATGACGTGACACTTTGCGGATGGTTTGGACCAGTTCCATGGCTTGCTTCTTGCGCATGACCCGCTTCAGCGCATTTTGTAGTTCCTTGGTGCCAATAGTGCAGCTCAGTTTGGCCTTCTTGCTGCGCTTGGCCTGATCGGACACACTGTTGTAGAACCTTCTTATGAAGGAGATCATCTTTCCCTTTGCTTTGGTTGATATGGGC